ATCCTCCTCCTCCTATTCCTCCCTCCTCCTCCTCCTCCTACTCCTTATCCTCGGGATGTTCATGGTTGACGTACCAGCAACGGAGTTTTGGATCCATTCAGGACGGTCAGGGCGCAACAGTTTCGTTGATTCGCGGTGCTGACATCCCAGGGACGGCGTTATGGCACGATTCAGGATTGCCAAGACGTAATCGTCAGGTTAACTCGTGGCGTTGAACTCCTTGATATGGTGCTCTGGCGCGCTTCAAGATGTTCACACGGTCGTCCTCCAACGGGGCAAGTCCCTCAGTGGAAATAGCCCCTTGTAGGGGCCTATGAAGAGGGATCGTGGAGGGAGGGTGTATTTCAACGTCGTTGATGAGTCTTGGCTTTACGCTGGTCCTCCTCCTCTTCCTCCTCCTCGGGCAAAACAGATACAGGCCTGGCGCTGAGGCCTCTCCCTGCTTTGACTCTTCCTTGCTGGGCCACGGCAGCGTGAAAAACTTTGGGCCTGTCCTCGCTGCAGCGCCGCCCGGCGCGTGGGCTCCCCCCCCCCCCCCCGCGAACGGCCCTGCGCGGCGAGGGACCGCCGGAGCGCTTCGCAGCAGCAGAGCCCTCGGAGCCCCCTCCGATCAGGGGGACGTAAGACCTGGGTACAGGGGACTCGGAAATCCCCAGATGTCGTCAAAAAAATGACGAGGCCGAGCCTGCATTTTGACGAGGCCTCCCGCTGCAGACATCCCACGAAACTCCTCCCCGTCAAAATCCGAGGCGCGGTCGTCAAAAAACGATGGCGAGCCCGAGTCCTGGCAAACCCGGGTCTTGCGCTCCCCCCCTCCGAGTCGAGACGCTGGCCCTGGGCCCCCCCCCGCGCCCTCCGCGCTGTGCACCAGCAGCTCCAGCTGCGGCGTGGCGACCGCCGCCACCCTCGCGGCCTCGGCCACCGACGGGGCGTCGGTGACGTCCATGGCCACCGGGCAGAGGCGATCGCCGAACTCCTGCGGAGCACGAGGGGGGGGGGCCGGCAGCGCGACAGAGAGACGCCTCTGAGGGGCTGCGAGCCTGGCCAGCGGCACCAGCACCACCCTGGGAGCCCACAGGAGCTATTTTCGGGCTCCGACCACCCGAAGAGAAGGCGCGACTTCGACGATGACCTTGCCCCAGTCGGGGGGATGATGAAGAGGAGGAGGAGCAGGAGCAGGAGGAGGGCGCTCTTCAAGATGAGAAGACGTTGGCCGTCTCTTGGGCTTCGGGGGCCCCCTCGTGGCCCCGCCTGGGCGCAGCTCGAGAAACCGACCAGGCTGCCGCCCGGGAGAGGTCCAGGGGTAAATTTAGGTCGGGCGCGTTCCCCTACAGGCGGATTTTGGACGACAAATAAAACATGGTAAAAAAGTCAAACAATGATCAAAAATACTCGAAAAATCGTCCAAGTATAATTTAATACATAATCTGAAAATATTCCTCCTGTAGAGGGACAAGCCCGACTTAAGGGTAAATTCTGAGCGACAGGGTCACGACGCGTCGACGGGAAGTGAGAGGAGGGAAGCGGAACTCGGAACTCGAATGTCCTCGAAAGTACGCCAGAGGCGGCACTGCCCGGGGTGCGCAGGACGCGAAACCGCCTGAAGACCCAAGAGGGAAGCGGAGAATGGAGGAGGACGTGGAGGAGGACGTGGAGGAAAGAGAAAAAACGAGGACCTACGTTGCAGGAGAGAGAGAGAGAGAGAGACAGAGAGAGAGAGAAGGGCGAGGGCAGTGGGATGAGGTTGGGACGGGGGCGGGGTTCTGAAGCGTCTGTGGGGGGTCTTGGGGCCCCCCGGGGTGCAGAGGCTATGCCGGAACTTCTGAGGTGGGCACAGACCACCAGCGGATTGATTCGCGCAGGCCCAGCATACTTCTCCTATGTTTCAGCCTCCACGGGTCGATGATGGACTCTGCGGGACAATCAGAAAACAATGCGGGATGAGAAGCCTGCACCAGGGAAGGTGTCGACTGCTCTGGGGCCCGTTGATTGAAAGCATAAGTCCACCCTGGGGCAAAGGTCTTGAATAACAAACGAGCGTGGCGAACTACATGCCAGTCTGGGAAACTATGCTCAGCAGCATCACTAACATAACGAGTACCCACTGCGTGCTTCCTCGTGAAGCGATGCATTTGGTCGAGACAACCCTCCAGCGACAGAACAAGCCGACCGTACACTTCACACCAAGTAGAATCTATTGAAAATTACGGATGCATTGGCTTTCGACATGGATGATGGGGGCCGACATGGTTCCCGATGTGTTGTCACGTGCGCAGGCGCACCTGACATACTCTGCACGTGCCCCGCACCTGGCGCGGCTGGAGTATGCGGCACACCTGGCGCAAGCGGAGGCACGTGGCGCATCTGGCGCACCAGGCGTGCCTGACACGCTCGGGCCCCAGGGGTGCCTGGCGCGCGTGGCGCGCCTGGCACGCGGCGCACCTCGCCCCAGCGTCGCGCACACGAGCTCGGTTTTGCTTCCCAGAGCTATTCATCCAAAAACGACCGCTGAACATGCTGAGGCGCGGGTGATACTGATGCGTTGGGAGGGCGGGTGGGAGTGAGCTAAACGGCATGCTGTCTAGGAGGGTGTCTTGACCCCTCCCCCTACCCCTTCCCCTGGGCCTGGGAGTTGAGGGGGCGCGGGTTCAGATCGACCAAGATGGCCCAAGATGGCTCCAAGAGGGCCTCAGAGAGCCCACGATGGCCTCCAAGATGGCTCAAGATAGCCTCCGACATGCACCCAAGAGGCGGCTCCAACATCGAAGTACAATCAATGTGTGTTGTCTTCTCGTCTTTTCGCTTCCGATGGGCTCCTGATGCCCCACGGTGGCCCCAGGGCAGCCCAAGAGAGCCCCGAGAGGCAAGAGGAGCCCAAGAGGGCCCCGAGAGGTCCCCAGGAGCGCCCAAGAGGGCTCCAAGAGCGGCCCAAGAGGGCCCCAAGACGGCATGTTGGAGCATCGGGGGGGCGGGGGGGCTGAATTTGCCCCACCCCCCTCTGTTTGACAGATGGCCTCAAGTGGCGCCTCCAACACACCTCTAAGGAGCCCAAAACCCTCAGACTGAGCTCACAGAGGGCCCATAGAGTGCCCCCAGAGGTCACACGGGGCCCTAAGAGAGCTCCTGAGATAGCCTTCGTCGTCATTCAAGAACCGATCATAGCATCATCATCATCATCATCATCATCATCATCATCATCATCATCATCATCATCATCATCATCATCATCATCATCATCATCATCATCATCATCATCATCACATCATCATCATCATCATCATCATCATCATCATCATCATCATCATCATCATCATCATCATCATCATCATCATCATCATCATCATCATCATCATCATCATCATCATTATTATTATCAGTATCATGATCATCATCATCAGCAGCATCATCATCATCAGCATCGTAAGCATCATGATCAGAATCATGATCATGATGATCATCATCATCACCACCATCACCATCATCATCATCACCATCATCAGTATCATCATCATCATCATCATCTTCATTATTTTCGTCATCATCATCATCATGATCACCAGCATCATCATCATGATCATCATCATCATCATCATCATCATACTCATAATCATCATCATCATCATCATCATCAGCAAAATCAACATCATCATCATCCTGATCCTCATCATTATCATCATCATCATCATCATCATCGTCATCATCATCATTATCATCATAACCATCATCACCTTTCTCGTGCCGCGTCCTCCGACATACCTCCAAAAGACCTCAAGACAGCCACAAGAGGGTCCAAGATAGCTGGGCATGGCTCAGAATAGCCTCCGACAGTCCTAGCCGAATATGGTTCACGATAGCCTCAAAACGGCCTCAAGAAAGCTGGCGATCTGTTTCTGGATGGGCTGGTGGGAATACGTGAAGCGTCAAGAATTTCCTTCTCCACACTGCAACGATATGGTATAAGACGGCGACGCCGAATGCAAGGACCACGGAAACCTTGCCTATCATCATCAGATGCCTGCCCGTCGTCACGATCACGATGAGGAGGTGACTAAATGTGAAAAGAGAACAAAATAATACGGAAGGATAATGATGATAACGGGGACAAGGAGACGGAAGCAGAGGAGGAGGAGGAGGACGGGATCTCAGTGGAACAGGGGACGAAGTGGGAGGAGGCCGACGACAACGACAACCACGAGGAGCAGAACGACGACGAACAGGAGGGCGAAGGAGAATCCCGTCACTGCGCCAGAATTGTGACTGAGCCACCTTAAACCGACCACGCGATCACTAGACGCTCGCTGCTGCGATTGAGCGCAGGGAGGGACCGATGGTGCGTGGATCTACCGCCAAAAGAGCTACACCACGCCGAGCACATGACCCTGAAGGAGTTGCTGCCGCTGTGTGGTCGTCATCGCCCAGCAGGCCTCCGACAGCAAATCCAACTCGCCCCAAATGCTTGACGTAAAAATTCAAGTACTCGAGGCCACCTTTCGTATGTCCGTGAACGACTTTCAACTCAAGCGTGCCGAACGCGACCCATTGAGGAGTCCCAGCAGCACGATGTTTTACGGTGTGACGGTACCCTCCAGCTTGCTTCGCCTCTGCCCACGACCCTGTGATATTCAGTTCTTGGAAATACATATCTTTGCACCCCCCCAGTCGGCGCGCATCAGCCTGCACAACAAGAAGCTGGTGTTCAAGCTCTCCTTTGGGGATGTTGATGAGGACATGCTTGCCTGGCTTCATCAAGTCGAAGCGCTGACCATGTACATTTTGCAGGTGGGGATCGCCCGTGGCTGACACACCACCGCCAGTGCCAGGTGTACTTGGCGCGGGTGGGCTGGGCGCCGGCGCGGGCGCCGGCGCGGGCGCCGGCGTGGGCGCCGGCGGCGCGGGCGTCTGGGCGTCCCCGCATACCAGGACCTGTTCCTCGTACCCGCCATTCGGCACACGCTTGAAAGTATTCTCCAGGTCGCAGTGATTGAAATCTGGGTCAAGAACCTCGGCTGCACACTTGGCGTGGAAGTCCTCCTTGTTTGCATATAAGGTAGGCTCGGCGGCCGTCCACTCTGCTTCGGTGGCGAAACGCAGACCGGCAGGGCAGAAAGTCGCATACAGCGGATTCGACAGAGGACCCGTCAGAGCACCCAGTGTGGAGCACCCGCCAGTGCACGGAGACGCCCATAAGAAACATAAGCCGTTGACGTAGTAGCAGTAATCCTCCACGCCAGTGTTCCGCCTTGCTCCAGACTGCCACTCAGACACCATCCCAGGCTTCCAGCAGAGGTTCCAGTGCGATGACTCCGAATGCCCTTCGACGGTGATGTTGTGGTCACTGGTGAGGTTCTGGGCTGCGTCGCGGTACTCCTGAGAGGTCAGGGAAACCGAACTAAACCAAACATGTTTGGGTCATTATTTACGTTGGGTTCAGGATTATGCTGCCGAGGAAACATCCTCTTCAAACTGAATTCCCCCGTTATTCTGGTTTGGTCGAGCTCTCCTTGAACCTCGACTCCAGCCCGAACCGAACGGACCCAGAGAAGGTTACCTCGTACCCAGAGTCGGTGCTGATCAAAGGGACGGTCTCCCTGTCAGCATCCACCATCACGTAGCAGGTGCCCCGGCCATGACCGACGATGCACTCCTCTTGAAGGATGAAAAAACGCCCCCACCCTGGGTTACAAGAGCGTGGCCTGTAAACCTCCCTGGAGCTCCCTCTGAGGCCAGAGGGCCGCCAGGACGCCGCGCGATACGCGCGACGCCCAGGGCTTCCCCCTGTCGGCCAACAGCAGCTTCAGCGCACAGCGCCTCGCAAACCAGGGTCTGGTGCGTTCCTCACGCCCTCGATTTAACAGGCGAAGAACGGTATAAATAAACTTTTTCGCTGTCGGGGGCGCCTGTCCCTGGGCGGCTGAAGAGTGTATACCCTTACGGTGGCATCGTAGCGGTATAAACTTTCCAGCCGCCCAGGGACAGGCGCCCCCGACCACGAAAAAGTTCATGTTATACCGTTCTTCGCTCGCTGATTGCTCCTCCTCCTCCTCCTCCTCCTCCTCCTCCTCCTCCATGGGGTCGGAGCAGATGGGGTCGGAGGATCGCCGATGCATCGCCGATGCATCGGCGATGCATCGGCGATGTATTGGCGATGCACCGGCGATGCATCGTCGACATGGAAGATGCATCCGCGACGCCGACGTAAAGCAAATCGGGCTCCACATCGAGCCGCATCGCCGATGCATCGGCGATGCGGAGCGATCCTAAGACCCCATGTACTCCGACCCCATCTAGGAGGCCTAGACTTGATCCTCCTCCATGCTGCACCTGACGCCGTGGCCAGCCGCCTCGAGCCCCGTCAGCCAGGCGGGGTAGGGGCTGCCCTCCCTGCGCCCCTCCGCCCCCGCCGCCGCCCAGGCCGCGGGCCCCGCGGGCGCACCGAGGCCGTCGGCGCTCCGCTGCACGGCCTGGGCGCCGGCGAGCAGGAGCGCCGCGGCCAGGAGGCTGCCGGTGCGGTGCATCGCGGAATTCGGGGGTGGACAGACCTCGCTTTAGTAAGACGCGGTTCAGTGAAAACGACCTCGGGCCCAAACCTGGCGGGCGCAAGCCTGGAGAAGAACGACCTCCCCTGAGCGAAAACGGCCTGGGACGGAAACCGACGGACCTGGACCCGCGAAAATGACGGCCGCGACGCCCTCTCGCGAACCGAAAACGGCCAATTCCTTAATCGACGTGTCACTGTTAGGAGGTCTGTCCCCCCCCGAGGAATGTGCGCCGCTGGGGCTGAATGTGGAAGGAAATTCGTGTGAGACGCGTGTACGACCGTTGATCGAAAGCCCGCCTAGGGCCAAGGGTTGCACCAAAATGGCTGCGGCCGAATAGTTACGAGGGCGATGGGGAGGCGCAGGAGCAGGGAGGTCCCACTACACTTCCGATAAAGATCTGAATGCGTCCGGAACAGTAACGTCTAAAACCATGCGAGGCGCCCCGCAAGCCGCCGAAAACTCCAGAAGATACCTGGGATTTCCATCCTTCGTTCCCTCCCTTCATGCCTCATCCTCCAAAATTCCTCATCCTTTCCCTCCTCCTCTTCCTCGTCCTCGTCTTCATCCTCCTCATCCTCCGCCAACCAGACTGGACGCGCTATGACCGGGGACTCGAGGCGAATACATCCATGGCGACGATGGCCACCAGCACCCACACCTCCGAAGTCACGATTCGCTCGCATCAGAATGGCTTCTCAGGCACATCCCCGCGGCCGATTCTTCATTTACCGGCGATGCCCCCGAGGGAAGCGAGTCCTGGACCCTGGAACTCTTCCTAGGAATGCCTTGCAAACTGAGTCTGTTTTCTCCGTGACGACCATGGAGCTCAGGGACAGCCGTGGGACGCCGAAAGCGGCGAGGCGCCTCAAACTTCAATGTTCGTATCCATGGTCTTCGTAGTGCCACGTGCTGGATAGGAGGAGCAGGAGCTCACCAGGGACATCCAGAGGCATCCAAAGCCTCAGAAACCAAAATAAAAAACAAAATGGTTGAACAGCTCCATGCACCGCCCTCCCCCATGTTCTGCTCATGTCCTTTCACTAAATACAAATCCCCCTATCCAATCACGAGACGTGTCCGTAGGCCGGGCGCGGCGCTTCGATTGAAAAACCCTTGCAACTGACGGTATTGAATGTGAGCCGGGCGCGACCCCAACAAGGGGAACACTTTACGTTGCATGGGGTTTGGGGTTCATGGTTTTGGGTTTACGGCCAACCAGATCGCGAATATGTCAACAGACTGGAAGGGTCACACACTGGCGCGGTGCCCGCATCCCACCCAGCCTAGAAACTCATTGCATATGAAGACGCGCACCTTGGTGCATGCGAGCCATCGGGGAAGCCCGCGTGGAGGGGGAGGACCAGGGACAACCAGCGCGCGGGAGGAGCAGCAGGCAGGAGGAGCAGCACAGGAGCGCACAGCGGCCATTGGGAGGAGCGCGCGACATCGCTTCGGAGTGGCTGGGTCAGCGTGGGGATCGCGCGGCGGCCCCTGCAACCGCGCGCCGCCCTTGAGCGAGCGCCGCGTGGGCGGGATGTGCCCCGCATCATATGTTTCATCGACGATCGCGGAGGGCGCAGAACCACCGCGCTGGCGAATGTGCCCCGCGCCACATTTCGAATGGCACATCGCGAAAGGCAGCGAATTCGCTGCCTTCTGCCGGGGGTAAATTTAGGTCGGGCGCGTTCCCCTACTACAGGCGGATTTTGGACGACAAATAAAACATGGCAAAAAAGTCCAACAATGATCAACAATACTCGAAAAATCGTCCAAACATAATTTAATACATAATCTGAAAATATTCCTCCTGTAGAGGGACAAGCCCGACTTAAGGGTAAATTCTGAGCGAACGTTGACTCTGGCAGGGTCACGACGCGTCGACGGGAAGTGAGAGGAGGGAAGCGGAACTCGGAACTCGAATGTCCTCGAAAGTACGCCAGAGGCGGCACTGCCCGGGGTGCGCAGGACGCGAAACCGCCTGAAGACCAAAGAGGGAAGCGGAGAATGGAGGAGGACGTGGAGGAGGACGTGGAGGAAAGAGAACAGACGAGGACCTACGTTGCAGGAGAGAGAGAGAGAGAGAGAGAGAGAAGGGCGAGGGCAGTGGGATGAGGTTGGGACGGGGGCGGGGTTCTGAAGCGTCTGTGGGGGGTCTTGGGGCCCCCCGGGGTGCAGAGGCTATGCCGGAACTTCTGAGGTGGGCACAGACCACCAGCGGATTGATTCGCGCAGGCCCAGCATACTTCTCCTATGTTTCAGCCTCCACGGGTCGATGATGGACTCTGCGGGACAATCAGAAAACAATGCGGGATGAGAAGCCTGCACCAGGGAAGGTGTCGACTGCTCTGGGGCCCGTTGATTGAAAGCATAAGTCCACCCTGGGGCAAAGTTCTTGAATAACAAACAAGCGTGGCGAACTACATGCCAGTCTGGGAAACTATGCTCAGCAGCATCACTAACATAACGAGTACCCACTGCGTGCTTCCTCGTGAAGCGATGAATTTGGTCGAGACAACCCTCCAGCGACAGAACAAGCCGACCGTACACTTCACACCAAGTAGAATCAATTGAAAATTACGGATGATTCTCCTGAACCTTATCCTCAATCCCACCGTGAGTGGTTTAACGGATTTTGTGTCCTGTTTTTTTGTTCTCTCCCTCTCTCTCTCTGCCCAAACCCCTCCTTCCCCTGCTCGGGGGACGGGTTGATCACTGTTCCCGATCAATATGCACCCCCTCCCCCAGGCGACCGGCAGCTAACCAGGAACAATGAGGACCCCATGAGGGCCACCCCCACACCATCCCTGTCAAATAAACACTACAAAGTACAATGTTGGGCAAAGTCTGGAGTCATGCTCGTGAGGCCCGCGAGCACTTTGTATTGTTGTTTACAGGGGCGGCCGGGGTGTCAGCATATAGCCTGCTGCGCACAGGGCTACAATCCATGAATAAAAACCATACAACATGCACCTCGCAGCTACATCTGGATCATGCGCGGCCACCCCGCGGTCAATGTCAAGTGGTGGCGTATGGCCTGCTGTGCGCAGGCCCACCAGACACAATGATGGGCATTGGCTTTCGACATGGATGATGGGGGCCGACATGGTTCCCGATGTGTGTTGTCACGTGCGCAGGCGCACCTGACATACTCTGCACGTGCCCCGCACGTGGCGCACCTGGCGCGGCTGGAGTATGCGGCACACCTGGCGCAAGCGGAGGCACGTGGCGCATCTGGCGCACCAGGCGTGCCTGACACGCTCGGGCCCCAGGGGTGCCTGGCGCGCCTGGCACGCGGCGCACCTCGCCCCAGCGTCGCGCACATGAGCTCGGTTTTGCTTCCCAGAGCTATTCATCCAAAAACGACCGCTGAACATGCTGAGGCGCGGGAGATACTGATGCGTTGGGAGGGCGGGTGGGAGTGAGCTAATCGGCATGCTGTCTAGGAGGGTGTCTTGACCCCTCCCCCTACCCCTTCCCCTGGGCCTGGGAGTTGAGGGGGCGCGGGTTCAGATCGACCAAGATGGCCCAAGATGGCTCCAAGAGGGCCTCAGAGAGCCCACGATGGCCTCCAAGATGGCTCAAGATAGCCTCCGACATGCACCCAAGAGGCGGCTCCAACATCGAAGTACAATCAATGTCTGTTGTCTTCTCGTCTTTTCGCTTCCGATGGGCTCCTGATCCCCCACGGTGGCCCCAGGGCAGCCCAAGAGAGCCCCGAGAGGCAAGAGGAGCCCAAGAGGGCCCCGAGAGGTCCCCAGGAGCGCCCAAGAGGGCTCCAAGAGCGGCCCAAGGGGGCCCCAAGACGGCATGTTGGAGCATCGGGGGGGCGGGGGGGCTGAATTTGCCCCACCCCCCTCTGTTTGACAGATGGCCTCAAGTGGCGCCTCCAACACACCTCTAAGGAGCCCAAAACCCTTAGAATGAGCTCACAGAGGGCCCATAGAGTGCCCCCAGAGGTCACACGGGGCCCTAAGAGAGCTCCTGAGATAGCCTTCGTCGTCATTCAAGAACCGATCATAGCATCATCATCATCATCATCATCATCATCATCATCATCATCATCATCATCATCATCATCATCATCATCATCATCATCATCATCATCATCATCATCATCATCAGTATCATCATCATCATCATCAACAACAGCATCATCATCAGCATCGTAAGCATCATGATCATAATCATGATCATGATGATCATCATCATCACCACCATCACCATCATCATCATCATCACCAGCATCAGTATCATCATCATCATCATCATCTTCATTATTTTCATCATCATCATGATCACCATCATCATCATCATCATCATCATCATCATAATCATCATCATCATCATCATCATCATACTCCGAATCATCATCATCAACATAATCAACATCATCATCATCATCCTGATCCTCATCATCATCATCGTCATCATCATCATTACCATCATAACCATCATCCTCATCATCACCTTTCTCGTGCCGCGTCCTCCGACATACCTCCAAAAGACCTCAAGACAGCCACAAGAGGGTCCAAGATAGCTGGACATGGCTCAGAATAGCCTCCGACAGTCCTAGCCGAATATGGTTCACGATAGCCTCAAAACGGCCTCAAGAAAGCTGGCGATCTGTTTCTGGATGGGCTGGTGGGAATACGTGAAGCGTCAAGAATTTCCTTCTCCACACTGCAACGATACGGTATAAGACGGCGACGCCGAATGCAAGGACCACGGAAACCTTGCCTATCATCATCAGATGCCTGCCCGTTGTCACGATCACGATGAGGAGGTGACTAAATGTGAAAAGAGAACAAAATAATACGGAAGGATAATGATGATAACGGGGACAAGGAGACGGAAGCAGAGGAGGAGGAGGAGGACGGGATCTCAGTGGAACAGGGGACGAAGTGGGAGGAGGCCGACGACAACGACAACCACGAGGAGCAGAACGACGACGAACAGGAGGGCGAAGGAGAATCCTG